AAAAAAAATAAGTGGATCTGAATGAATCTGTGGTGGATGGTGTATACCTATACATATATTTTGATGGGTGATCTTTTGACTTCATCTTCTTCATCTGAAGAAGATACATTATTAACGGAAGTTGTTTTATTAGACAGAAGAAAATTAAACAAACTGATCTACTTCATTAAAAATAGAATTGATCAATATGACGATGAAGAGGTAAGTTTAATCTAGAAACAAAATTGTACCAAAATGTAAGCCCACTGAATTTGAGACATTTAAAAAAAAGCGATAGGTATCAAATTCAAATTTACAGATGGGCAAGCTTCATTGTAAGATCACGTTAAAAGTGTTGTACTTAACACCAAACCATCATGAAACATATACTTTTGACAAGTATGACAGTTCGAATACAGTGTCAAGTGTGACACTAGTGCAACAAATAAAATCCAATATAAGCATCTTAAGAAAAGTCACACCAAGTATACCGGCTAGGCTAAATGGTGTTAATAAAATTAACCGAAAATTTGCAAATATTATACATCCACTCAAATCCAATACAACTTTCTTTTTTCTTTTTCTTTTTCTTTTTCTTTTTCTTTTTCTTTTTCTTTTTCTTTTTCTTTTTCTTTTTCTTTTTCTTTTTCTTTTTCTTTTTCTTTTTCTTTTTCTTTTTCTTTTTCTTTTTCTTTTTCTTTTTCTTTTTCTTTTTCTTTTTCTTTTTCTTTTTCTTTTTCTTTTTCTTTTTCTTTTTCTTTTTCTTTTTCTTTTTCTTTTTCTTTTTCTTTTTCTTTTTCTTTTTCTTTTTCTTTTTCTTTTTCTTTTTCTTTTTCTTTTTCTTTTTCTTTTTCTTTTTCTTTTTCTTTTTCTTTTTCTTTTTCTTTTTCTTTTTCTTTTTCTTTTTCTTTTTCTTTTTCTTTTTCTTTTTCTTTTTCTTTTTCTTTTTCTTTTTCTTTTTCTTTTTCTTTTTCTTTTTCTTTTTCTTTTTCTTTTTCTTTTTCTTTTTCTTTTTCTTTTTCTTTTTCTTTTTCTTTTTCTTTTTCTTTTTCTTTTTCTTTTTCTTTTTCTTTTTCTTTTTCTTTTTCTTTTTCTTTTTCTTTTTCTTTTTCTTTTTCTTTTTCTTTTTCTTTTTCTTTTTCTTTTTCTTTTTCTTTTTCTTTTTCTTTTTCTTTTTCTTTTTCTTTTTCTTTTTCTTTTTCTTTTTCTTTTTCTTTTTCTTTTTCTTTTTCTTTTTCTTTTTCTTTTTCTTTTTCTTTTTCTTTTTCTTTTTCTTTTTCTTTTTCTTTTTCTTTTTCTTTTTCTTTTTCTTTTTCTTTTTCTTTTTCTTTTTCTTTTTCTTTTTCTTTTTCTTTTTCTTTTTCTTTTTCTTTTTCTTTTTCTTTTTCTTTTTCTTTTTCTTTTTCTTTTTCTTTTTCTTTTTCTTTTTCTTTTTCTTTTTCTTTTTCTTTTTCTTTTTCTTTTTCTTTTTCTTTTTCTTTTTCTTTTTCTTTTTCTTTTTCTTTTTCTTTTTCTTTTTCTTTTTCTTTTTCTTTTTCTTTTTCTTTTTCTTTTTCTTTTTCTTTTTCTTTTTCTTTTTCTTTTTCTTTTTCTTTTTCTTTTTCTTTTTCTTTTTCTTTTTCTTTTTCTTTTTCTTTTTCTTTTTCTTTTTCTTTTTCTTTTTCTTTTTCTTTTTCTTTTTCTTTTTCTTTTTCTTTTTCTTTTTCTTTTTCTTTTTCTTTTTCTTTTTCTTTTTCTTTTTCTTTTTCTTTTTCTTTTTCTTTTTCTTTTTCTTTTTCTTTTTCTTTTTCTTTTTCTTTTTCTTTTTCTTTTTCTTTTTCTTTTTCTTTTTCTTTTTCTTTTTCTTTTTCTTTTTCTTTTTCTTTTTCTTTTTCTTTTTCTTTTTCTTTTTCTTTTTCTTTTTCTTTTTCTTTTTCTTTTTCTTTTTCTTTTTCTTTTTCTTTTTCTTTTTCTTTTTCTTTTTCTTTTTCTTTTTCTTTTTCTTTTTCTTTTTCTTTTTCTTTTTCTTTTTCTTTTTCTTTTTCTTTTTCTTTTTCTTTTTCTTTTTCTTTTTCTTTTTCTTTTTCTTTTTCTTTTTCTTTTTCTTTTTCTTTTTCTTTTTCTTTTTCTTTTTCTTTTTCTTTTTCTTTTTCTTTTTCTTTTTCTTTTTCTTTTTCTTTTTCTTTTTCTTTTTCTTTTTCTTTTTCTTTTTCTTTTTCTTTTTCTTTTTCTTTTTCTTTTTCTTTTTCTTTTTCTTTTTCTTTTTCTTTTTCTTTTTCTTTTTCTTTTTCTTTTTCTTTTTCTTTTTCTTTTTCTTTTTCTTTTTCTTTTTCTTTTTCTTTTTCTTTTTCTTTTTCTTTTTCTTTTTCTTTTTCTTTTTCTTTTTCTTTTTCTTTTTCTTTTTCTTTTTCTTTTTCTTTTTCTTTTTCTTTTTCTTTTTCTTTTTCTTTTTCTTTTTCTTTTTCTTTTTCTTTTTCTTTTTCTTTTTCTTTTTCTTTTTCTTTTTCTTTTTCTTTTTCTTTTTCTTTTTCTTTTTCTTTTTCTTTTTCTTTTTCTTTTTCTTTTTCTTTTTCTTTTTCTTTTTCTTTTTCTTTTTCTTTTTCTTTTTCTTTTTCTTTTTCTTTTTCTTTTTCTTTTTCTTTTTCTTTTTCTTTTTCTTTTTCTTTTTCTTTTTCTTTTTCTTTTTCTTTTTCTTTTTCTTTTTCACCTACACCTATACACATTTATACTTGTTTATTGATTTTTCTGGTAATAAATTCTGTATTGCATTATTAACTCTCTTATTTCTGGAGGTATACATAATAACTTATCTTCACTATCTAAATTCATCTTTTTTTTAGCACTATTATTAGAAATTGATTTGAAAACGTCAAAATTATCTTGTTAAAATTTCAAATGACATTACTCCCCTCAATGTAATAATTGAGTGTTCCGCCTACTGAGAGGCGTTGACAATTTAATAATTTTAAATTTTTTTAATTATTATTCATTCCTTTCCAGTTGTTAAAAAATCTTTCTAACATTTTACGCCAATAGAACATTTATCGACTGCGCACACTATTTATATACCGAATTGTCGTAGGAGCCCAGCGTGAGTTATAATAACTCACTATTATAACTCACGCTATTTGTTTATTGATACTATTAATTGCTCAAAAGCACTTGAATAATTAATATATAAATTAATAGGAGTAGATAAAAAAAATTACCAACTTTAGTTACACCAAATTCTAAAACTCAGGTATTAGTTCAGTCTATCGTCCTTTCATAATTTTAGGTCATTAAAGGTGGTAGAAACGTATTATTTAATTTGTAATCCATAACACTTCTAATGTAAAAAATATAATATTAACATGGTTTGTTGCAGAAGGTGGACGTGATAAATAGGCGGCCATGCTTTTGACAGATGAGGTTTATATTGGTAAACAAACTACAATGAGTTACTGTATAGTAAACCAGCAAACAAAGATATTCTTATGTAAAACATTTTTTGTAAGCATTTGCGTTAAACAATTTGAGAAAAATGGAATGCTTTGAAAAGTACAATTTATGTAAATACTGCAGAGTTGAGTCAAGCGCAAATATGTCATCCAAAATATATTTAACGAATTTAATGGAAGATTGCGACCAGAAAGCGTTAGAGTCGAATGGTTTGTTTACGAATATGGCCTTTTTCCTAAAAGAGATTTGAACAAAATTGTTTTAAAATATTACATATAATGTCTTAAAACACATACATCTAATTAATTCGCCACCTTCCTATTCACCAGTAAGAAGAGAGGATGGGTTAGAATTCTAGCAACATTTAAATCTTACTATGTTACGTTTTTTGAAATATAAATTGATAATACATAAAAATTAAACAAATTTGTTTTCTGTTTAATGAAACTTTATAGCGAATAATAAATAATAATGTTAATTCTTATAGAAATTTCGCATTATTCACAGGTATATCTACATTATTTAATGGTTGTAGATCATATGTTTACCTTTTCAATTGTCAAAAAATTTCCACTTAAATATCGTGGCGCCTCGAAAAAAATTTCGGAAATTAACTAGTCAAAATTAAGGCGTCTTATTGGTTGAAAATACATTTCTTTATTGCTGGAAAGAAGCATTGGTTATGCTAATTCCAAAATGCAATTCACCCACTTCATTTTCGGATTTAAAACCAATTAGTATTCTGCCTACCTTCTCTAACGTTGTTGAAATGGCACTTAAAGATCAAATGCTTGAATTTATAAAAATTTCTGGCATAGCATCCGAGCAATCAGGGTTTCGGGCCCAGCATGTAGTGCTATGCACGGCACTCTTGTCAATTATGGATATCATTAATTCCGTTGATCAACATAAAATGTCTTACACTTCTTGTAGTCCAAGCGGTGGGTGGTTTCTATTCGCAAAAGGTCGGAAAGAAATGAAATTTGGTGGAATATTAGACATGGGATCCCTGATAATACACCTAAGTTTTCGACCTCGGGGGGATGCCGCTCGAGAGGTGGAGGGATGAAAACTCTGCGTCGCGACGCTTTTAGGGAAATAGCGCCGTTGTGATAAGTGCTATCAAAAAAAAGTTCAAATAAAATATGTACAGGACAAAATCGTGCACAATTGATATATCAACATTTTTTGTCTGCGACCAATAGTTTCCGCTCTACGACGCGCCAAAGTAGGGGATTGTTCAACAAAATGAGAATTTCGTCGTGGATTAAGACGAAGATCGCTCTGAAAGAATTATGTAATATTTTTTTTCTAAAAGAGTAATGATTTCTGAATCTGCAGATGCCCGATTTGATACATTTGGTCGTATAAAATATATGATATGATGTTTTGAAGCGCGCCCCTACATATTCCGATATAAATATTTTGTAATTTTCAGTATCTACGGTCAATATTTCCTTATTTTTGTTGACCTAGGCGCCAAATTTATTCTTTTTGTGCATACAAGATACAAGAAAGTATCATTTTCAACTCGTTTCTGACCTTTGATGTAGAGTTGATCGGCGCGTTTTTTTTTACTAATTCAAAGTCGATAGTTGCGTTTATTCGTCAAATTTGGCCTTGTATATTTGGTACTCATCGTCCTGTAATTGATCGTGAACGTTTTCGACATCTTCAGCATTGTCGTCGTCTAACGCAATCTGGTCCGTAATGTTTTCGCAGGACATCCCAGTACAGTGTAAACACAGAATCAAACATTTCAATCCTATTTTACGGCAACAACAAGCAGATCCACAACCTTTCTTGCATCTGCACGAGATGCTTTTAAGTAAAACATCTGGAGCAGGTTCCTTTGCCATCCGTACTGCGTCCAGTCCTGTGGTTGTTCTTCGCCATCCATGATCTTCTGGAGTACGCAATGAATGATGATGGCACGCATCTGATATTGGTGGCAGCACCGCTAAATTGAAAGAATTTTTTGAGACGGCCCCGCACAATGTTCGTATGCCGCAGAGAGTCCAACTTGCGATGTTCGCTTCCTGCACCATACTGCCTTAACATAAAAAGTTCGCCAGCGGCAACGACTTTGGTTAATTCGTCAAATACCTGAATCGCGTCTGTTAATGTTGGATTTTTTCCAAAGTTTTGAGGAATCGAATTTTGCCCTGATTGAAAAACTCCGATGTAGTGTCACATTCACTGAAGGAAATAACTTACTTTTCGCTACAACATCGCTATATTTTAAATTCTGAGGCGAAGAGAACACATCCTCCTTTTTCCCTTTACCCGGCTTGCGCAAATAAAGATACGGGATCTCTCTGGCTTTAGCAGTCAACAACACAAGCAAATCTACATCTTCTCCAATAACGAATACGGAGGAAAAAGAGGGAGCAAGTTCGATGGCAGTCTGCAAAATTAATGAATCCGCGTCTTCGATCGCCCTGCTTCCAACTTTCTTTGTAGCAATGCGATGAGGCACCTTTTGTTGAAGCTGTTCGATAAAAATTGTTCTTGGGATACAGTTGGAATTATAGATTCATCGAAGAGTATATCAGTGCTGCTTCGAGCGGCGGTTTCTTTCAGCAGATTTCGTACTTGTTTCTGTCCCATTTTCGGGATATCCATCAAAAGCAACAATTGTATTCGGCCCATAGTGCCGTGAAATATAGTTAATGTAATTCGCATAAATCATTGAATTGTGACGGCCCCACACAACACGATGGAGCAAAATGCCACCGTCAACGTGTAGAGTTGTGTCAACTTCTATGACTGGTGTAACAGGGCACATAAGCTTTGTACAATGAAGATTTTGCCATCTTGCGCATATCTTCCTCAGTAAACATTGAAAACGGAAAATGCGCAAGTTCGTACTGTAGGTAGTCTCTCAGTTCATCGTCAGATTTTTTTGCAATGCATATGCGTTGAAACAACAACATAATCAACGGGAATCGATCCAATATTCACACTACATTTAGCAACTGATAGAGAGAACACTGACTCAAAAGTATGACCAAGCATTTATGTCATCGCAACTGACCCGATTTCGTACGCCTGGTAGCAATTAAAGAATTAATATATTACATACTCGTAAATAATAATAATAAATACTCGTAAATAATAATAAATAATAAGTTGAGGCCGAACAAGGGGCACGTATGCTATACCACAAACACGATATTCATGACACCTAATGCACAAAAATAATAAGTTTAGCGCCTACGTCAACAATAATAAGGAAAAATTGACTGTAGATTCTGATAATTACAAAAGCTTTATATCGAAGTACGTAGAGGCGCGCTTCAAAACATCATATCATTTAATATAAACGACCAAATGGATCAAATCACGCATATACAGACTCAAAAATCATTACTCTTTTAGAAAAAAAATATTAAATAATTGTTTCATAGCGATCTTCGTCTTAATTCGCAATGAAATTCTCATTTTGTTGAACATTGCAAATCAACCCCCTACTTTGGCGCGTCGTAGAGCGGGAACTACTGGTCGCAGACAAAAAAATGTAAATGTCAAAATTGTGCACGGTTTTGTCCTGTACATATTTCAATTGAACTTTTTTTCGATAGCACTTATCACAACGGCGCTATATCCCGAAAAGCGTCGCGACGCAGATTTTTCATCCCTCCACCTCTCGAGCGGCAACCCCCCGAGGTCGCAAACTTAGGTGTAGGTAGGGGACCCATGTCTGCCATCCCACCAAATTTCATTTCTTTCAGACCTTTTGTGAATAGACCTCCTTATTCTTTACCCACCGCTTGGACTATTGATCATAATATTAAAAAAAAAATTCGGTTTCAAAAACAACTCAGCTGATCTAATAGGATATTATTTAAAAAATCGAACCCAAAGAGTAAAATTAAATATTAAGGTATCGAAAGCTTTGTCTGGTATATATGGAGTACCTCAAGGTTCAATCCATTAGTGGATGAGTATAAACATTTAGGACTCTGGATCGATTCTAATATTAGATTTTCTAGACATGGAAGTTTGATCATATTTCTCATAAATATCTGGAAGCTAAATAGCTAAGGCTCGATTCCTTGAGGAAATTACACATAGTCTGTACGACTCACAAAATTCTTCTTAATAGAAACAATAGCTAAGTTGAGATCTTGAGATATTTCGCACAATATAATATTTTTCCACCAGAAACCAAAATAGTAATAGTAATTCTTCGGCACAATAAAACCATTTTCAAAAGAAGTTTCTCTTACTGCGGCTCGTCCTATATAGTATGAGAGCCCACTGCAAATTTCGACCGTCATCTGATAACGACATGAAATATGCTCCAAAGACATGTAACAACATTGTACTTTACCAAATTGCACCTGTGCCAATCCCTATCCTGAGCAAAGTGGTTAAAAAAAATTATTTTATATTCAAAAAATCATATAAGACATGACAGCAACAATTGTATTTTCCCTGAAAATTACAATCCTAATTCATTGTGAACCTAGCTTTTAAACCAAAATTATTAATATTTTTACCTACCTTTTAAACCATGTTTATGTGTGAAAGGAAGAAGGATGGCATTGTATAAACCATTTGCAGAGACAGTCAAGGGTAATATACCAAGACCTTGATAAATAGTCGGCTATTTTTGTTGCGTCTAAATTTCGAGAATATTTTAATATCAATTTGATGAGACATAATTGCGGCATTAATAATCTGATTAAAGCCCGAGAGCTTTAGCTCGAGGGCTTTAGTCAATTGATTATTAATGCCAAAATGATGTCGAATCAAATTGTAAAATATTCAAGAAATTTAGCAACAAAAATAGCAGAGTATTAATCAAGGTCGTGTTATATTTGGGAAGATTATTTCCCGCGAAAATAAATTTTGGATAAGTAAATTAGAAAAACTTTATTAACAAAACACAAACATCAGGAATACAACTAAAGTAATCGAACATTAAATCAAATATTAATTAAAGTTGAAAACACAATTATTATAGGTCGCGCCTGTTTCTTTAAATATTGACTTTTCTGCAGTCGTTCTTCTTTTGATCCTGAAGGTGCGGAATTTGCTTGATTCATAACATAATTAGATGATGTTGCTACATTTACAGTATTTTCATCAGAACTTCTCATTTTATTTATAATATTTTGGTGGTGCTGTGCATCCATTTGTAAATAAGGCTTGATTGACGAAGAACTTCCGTGTCCCGTGATTTTGATTAATTCTTGTTCAGAAACTCCAGATTTGGCTAATTGTGAAACGGCAGTTGAGCGGCACGAATGATTGGAAATTTTTACTTTTTTGGTATTCACACCGATCGATTCTGCTCCTATTTTTGTCCATTTTGACAACTCATTTTTACCGACTGGTTGATTTTTATACCACTGGACAAACTTATCTTTAAACCAAAATTTATTTGTTGTTAAAAATAATCGGTTGGACGTAATGTTTGGGCCTCGTTTAGATATTAATGTTTTGTATAACCTTACTGGACACCTGCGAGGATTATTGGTATTAGTAACAAGCCACTTGCTTTCGGCACATTTTTTGCTGCCACCTTGACATGTTTTCGTAAAAACTGGATTGTACTCTATTCTTCCAGATTCAGTTCCATCCGTTTTTAATTCTATTTTGAAATGATCCGTTAAACACATTGCTCCTTCACCTCCTCGCCATGCCAACTCTACAGATGCTATAAAGTAAAACTTTTTTTGTAAGCCGTTGGGTGTTTCTTCATCAAATTTATCAATTATTGAGTAAAATTCGGCCATGTCTAAAGCTGTTGAGCTCTGTTTTCGTTTTTCGGGGAGCTTTTGTAATTCGCGCCTTTTGGCGTTACGGGCGTCTCTTGCGCTTTTAAACGTAATACCTTGAAAGGAATCGATAGAAATACCATGTTCATTAAAATATAATTCTTGCAAACTTTTAGCTGTGGAATTCCACATACATTTTAATGTGTATTCTTTATATTCTTCTCCATTGGTTTTCTTCATGTTCCACGCCCAGTCTTTCAAAATATTGTTTAACTCACCTTCTGATGTATGTGCATCTAATGTATAGTTACGCACCGTACAAAATTGGGTAAATTGAGCCCAGATACTATTTTTACTTCGTACCGTATTCGTAGGTACCAAAGATTTTACAGCTTTTTCTATAGAGTTTTTATCAAAAACACCGAATCTTTCCATTTTATTATAATTTATTAAATTGTGACAGAACTGCATGAGCAAAAACTGACAGAAGCATTTGACATTTTTAAGTGACGTTTCAATGACTATTTCTCTAGGGAAATAGTCGCTGATATTTGGTCTAGTGAAATAGTCGCTGATAATTGAATCCGATTGGTCTGAATTTTAAAAATAGTGCCATTTTGTTGGTTAATATAAAACAAGGGAAATAATCAAGAATAATTATAAACTCTTGTCAGACAATTATTTTAAACCATAATCATAGTAGTTTTTTGTCGTTTCTATGGCAACCTGTAAAAATGAATCACAACAATAGGAATACAAATAAATTTTTAAATCAGCAAAAATTGATTCATATTTTTAATGATTTTTACCTACTAATCGTGGATAGATGTTTTTGTGCGATGTTAAGAGGAAGAAAATGTTTCCCTTTTACTATATATATTAAGATATATTTGAATGTTATATTCTGGAAAACTTTAAGGGCAAACAAAATTAGCGCTGTCATGCCTTATGTGATTTTTTAAATATAAAATATTTTTTTTATGCTACTTTGCTCAGGATTAGGATTGGCACAGGTGCCATTTGGTAAAGTACAATGATTTTCCATGCTTTTGGGGTATATTTCATTTCGTTATCAGATGACGGTAAAAATGTGCAGTGGGCTCTTGGGCTAATATAACAAGTTGCCTTTTATTATGGAAAAATGTTTACTTCCCAATTATTATTTAAATTTTCATTTTTATTTACATTTTCATTGTTATTATTGTTAAGGTTAAGTTGAAAAACAGTCCAGGCTGAACTTCGTCGTTTCATCATCAACTATAAATAATGTTTGTTATATTGCATTTTGATAATGTATCTCTTCTAATTTTTATAATTGT